GGTGCACAATTAGTGGCACTGCGGAATTCATGGGTGATGGTATCACACGATGACATGCAATTTTCCCGTACCACCTTCTTCAATTCTCGACGGTTTCTTGTCGGTCAACACACGTGGTCTACCCGACCGTGATTTTGTTGTGGTTGTGTCTTCTCATTTCCACTTCACAATCACGTCCCTGATGGTCGACTTGGGCAACTTGAGAAGGGCGGAAATGGCCCTGATGGATTGCTTACTGATGTGGCAACCAATAACCATACCACATTCGAAGTCACTGAGTTCCCTTGCTCTACCCATTCTGTCGGTATCGCATAGCACCGAACAACATCGAGCCCTCTGATTCCTTTTATAGCTGCAGCGGCGGGCGTAGTGATATCTAGACTCGAGTTTACGTTTACAGAGGAGTGTCCGGATACGTTTGATCAGGCAGTGTATATGTTCTGATGCTGTAAAATTGTTTTATTAAAAAACATTGTGGGTTAAGCCCACATTGTGTCATACCATTGTTAGAAACCTTTAAATTTAAATTTTGTTCGTTCGTTTATTTTTACTCGTCTCTTTTCACACGTCACGTATCTTTTAAACCTTTCAATGACAAATTTTAGTATACCAATTTTCTGGGCAAAGCATGTATTGTATTGTTTGGGGGGGAGGGGGATGTGCTCTTTATTCCAGTATGGCCACAAGGACTTGTGATGAAAACTCTGTTATGTTATGTTGTACAGGTCTTCTGGAGGGATATGACAAACTTTGCCTTGCTGCAAAGCAGCTAGCCCCTTTGCTACAGCAGTTGGAGACTGAACACTTGCAACGATTCAACCTTACATGGGAGGTCCTTAACAAACACTTGTATCAGAGTTGTGTCTATACTGACCCTCTTGTACAGGATAATCTTCCCCACTACATAGGACAGGTGAGCAAATATGGGTTACTTTTGATTGTTGGTTATATAATATTTGCAGGTGGTGTTTGGTTTAGATGCAACTAAAAGAAAGAAACTTATTCAGAAATACTTGGGCTTGTGTATTTGTAGACTTGCATGCAGAGATTTTTTATTCAAAAAGGAATTGACGAATTGGTATTTAAAATTAAAATTGTTCCAAAATCATGACTTTTTTCCCCATAAGTGTATCATATAACCTTTTTTTACTGTTTTGGTCTGTAAGCATTAATTGCCATGTTTTTTTTAAATTGATGCAAACTTCCAAAATGAAATAACACCTTGTCTGTTGACTATCTGTGTTTGTCAGTTTATATCAAGTTGGCTTTCAAATTGTTCACATAAAATGTTCACAATATTAAGACTTTCTGCCAAGTTGTCGGCAAGGTTAAGCACTTCAGTCTACTTTTTAAGGAAAATAAAGGAACAAATGTTCCACAACGCTTACTATGTTTTGCCATGACATTGAATGTGCTTATGTGGAGATGTTGAGCGTCATCATGTTGCTTTTAGAAAACCTGAAGTATTTCATAGCATAAAATGTACAGCAGATTTCTTGCCATTCCAGTTACGTAACATGTTGCCAGGGAAGAATCAAGCCTACTCTGAGCTGGTGCACCGCTACTTGGTATTTGATTATGAAATGACCCTTATTGGAGCTATGTGGAGGGACACAGAGATGCTTGTTCATAAATATAAGTAAGATTTCTGTTTACTTGTGAAATTAGTTCTCTCCCAAATGTGCTCTTTGACAAAATTGGTGCTGACAGTAAGTTACTTCCTGGAACACATTCCTTGAGAAGCTGATAGTTACTCAGCTTTTTAAGTATACCCTACCTTTTGTGAGACCCAAAGATTGATTTCTGTGTTTAAAAAGACTGTCACTGACCCCTAACTACTAATATTTGGAGGTATTATTTTGTAATTGCCCTCATTCATTTTCTGTTAGGCTACGTATTGGCTGACTTCTTTGTTATTTGAACTACATTTACAATATATGCAACTCTGTATAAATATTAAGAAAAATATATATATATTAATTATACCAAAGCAGCTCTTGAGAACTGTGGTTTGGACCACATATGTGACCTTGTTTCAAATGTAAGAATGATGTGCATAGTATCTGTGAA